TCTTCTAGAATGGAAACTGAGAGCAGGGATCTTACCTGTCTTGTTCACTGCTGTATCCTTAGTGCTTGGCACCTAAAAGGTGCTCAGTAAATATTTGTTGAATGAATGCCTGATTTGTGCATATGTTTTTTTCTTTCTAAATGTTGGGCACATTTATTTTTATTCATTTTCTTTCCTTCTGCTTCCTTTTTTCTTTTGTCTGCCTTTTTTATTTCCCCCTCTCCTCTCCTTTTTCTTTTCTTACATACTATTATAGTTGAAATGTTTTAGGATCAGCATCTACCTCAACAGTGAAGTGAGAGTGATACTTGATAAGAGTCCATTATAAATTTGAACCTAGAAACCCAGACCATTAAATTTGGAAGCCTATGGTAGAGAGCTGTTCCATGTGTTTTTGCCCCCAGCTTTATTGAGATATAATTGATATATAACATTGTATAACTTTAAGGTATTCAACTCGATGATCAGATATATATTGTGAAATGACTGCCACAATAAGTTTAGTTAACACATCCATCACTTTACATAATTACCTTTATTTTATTTTTTTTTGGTGGCGAGAACATTTAAGATTAATCCTGGCAACTTTGAAGTATATAAGACAATATTTTTAACTATAGTTACCATGCTGTGCATTAGATTCCCAGAACTTATTCATCTTATAACTGGAAGTTTGTAACCTTTGAACAATATCTTTCCATTTCCCGCCCTCTCCCCCCTTCCCCCCCACCCCCAGCCCCTGGCAACCACCAGTCTACTCTCTGTTTCTAGGAGTTTGGTTATTTTATTTTTTTTAAGATTTTATTGGGGAATTGGGGGAGGGGAATAGTGTAGGGGAATTGGGGGAGGGGAATAGTGTAGGGGAATTGGGGAAGGGGAACAGTGTAGGGGAATTGGGGAGGGGGACCAGCTAAGTTGTTGTTCTTCAGTCTTCGTTGTGGAGGGCGCCAGTCACCACCTGGCTGCCCAGTGGCAGCTCGTGGCCTCTAAGCTCAAGGTGCTATGTTCAATTTTACCAGCCACAATCCCATGCGGGAGTCGAACCAGCAGCCTTGTTGTTAAGAGCGCACGCTGTATCCACTGAGCCATCTGGGCAGCAGCCCAGCTCAAGGTGCCGAGTTCAGTTTTAGTTGCGGGTGAGTGTAGCCCTAGGAGTTCGGTTATTTTAGGTTCCACATATAAGTGAGATCATGCATATTTGTCTCTCTGTGTCTGACTTTTTTCAGTTAGCATAATGCCCTCAAAATTCATCCATGTTGTTAGCAAATGGCAGGACTTCCTTCTTTTTTTATGGCTGAGCAATCTTCCATTGTATATATACACCACATTTTCTTTATCCATTTACCCATCAATGCACACTTAATGTTTCCATGTCTTGGCTCTTGTGAAGAATATTGCAATGAATGTGGGGGTGCAGATATCTCTTCTAAATAATGATTTTATTTCCTTTAGATATATACCCAGAGGTGGGATTGCTAGATGATATGGTAGTTCTATTTCTAATATTTTGAGGAACCTCCATGTTGTTTTCTGTAGTGGCTGTACCAATTTGTATTCCCACCAGCCATAACAAGGTTTGCTTTTCTGCACGTCCTTGCCATGGCTTCTTTTTACACGCTGGTGAATGAAGCCCAGGGAGGAAAAGGAAACTTAAGGTTATAGAATGAGTGTAAAGAGTGGAACTGAAATCCAAAACGTTTGATAGAGTAAGTGTGACCACTTTCTGAAAATTAGGGTGAATTTCTATTACATTTATTTTCTGATACTAGCGTTGGCATGTATTGTACCCACGAAGACAATAAAACAAGCGAATGACTAGCTTAGTGTCACTGTTTTCCTTGCATATCAGACACTGGAAGAGTTTGGCTTTAGGTTTTAAAATATTGGTATTTGGCTATGTCATCCTGTCTGGATGTGATGTGCAGTTAAGAACTATGTGGCTGGATTGCTTTAAGACAGTTCTAAAAACGTTGTATGACTTGGGTCTTTCAGAGAGAAGTTGTGCTGCAGGTCATGGGACCAGCAGTCTTCGAGGCTTAGAAATAAAAGACTTCATTGATTCACCATTGAGTTGGGGGGATTAGAAGCCATTCCTAAGTTTGGTGGTAGGTGAAATTAGTATGAAAAGTTGCCTGATTCTCTTTTCTATTTTGCCTGGTATGTCTTATTTCTGAGAAACTATATTAAAGCCTACGATGACATTTCTGAGGGATTAATGTGGCTTTGCTGTATTTACTTCTTCACCCGAAGGATTTAAAAGTCTGGATCAACAGAGGTCAGAGCATAGTCAGAGAATGCTTCTTTCCCTTCCTTGAGGTTCCATAGCATTGTCGTTGTACTTTCTATTTCTCACGATTTGCCTTGTGCTATGGATTATGTGTCTGTCTCTGCCAATGATTGTGAGCCCCCAGGGGATCAGGTCTGGAGTTTGCTCGTTATAACCCCGTAGTGCCTAAACGAGTGCTTTATAATACTTAGGTATCACTTATGTGCTTGTGGTATTTCAGTGATGCTGAGAGAATCATTAGATGATACGTCTAGTCTAGTCCAATCGCCTTGTTTTACTTGTAAGGAAACAGAAGCACAATGACTTACTCAGTATCATCTAGTTGGCTGGGTGACCTGTGTTCTTGTCTGGGTTCTGCTGTTTGTTCGTATATGCCCTGCTGCTCCTCAGCTGGCACTGATTCTCTCTACAACAGGGGAGGGTTGTGAAAAAGAAAAAAAGCCCCGAGAGGATGTAAACAGATTGCACTCACATTACTGATGGGTTGCAGTTTACTGTTCTGCCAGTCAGATATTTTACTTGCAAAATTAGGAGCAGAGGCTTAATTTCTGAGACCCCTAAAAAACTTTTGTAAGAATTCTATATTTCTCCAGTCCACCACCCTAACACACCCTTCTTTGCTGTATTCCATGGATAGACGTGGTGGAGAAGGAGAGGACTTCATGTTGTCAGTTTTCACTCACATTTCTGACAGCTTGTGTGGTAAATTCCAGTTGCCTGTGATGATGACAGAGAGTAATGTGTTGAGGCCCTTGGTTGACTTTCTCCCCTGTTCCAAATGGAAAGAGAGTGATGAAAAGAATTAAATTTCTTAGGAAATTTGGTACTTTGGATTGGAATTGTTTTTCCCTCCTCTCCTATTCCCTTCTGCTTATTAGAAAGTATTGATTCTGAAATAGAGAAAGTGAGTTTATTAGATTTGGGGTGGACATTGATTAGCTGTAACCCAATTATAAATCCTCAGAGGAGGATGTTTGTAAACATGTGCTTTTCACATCCAGGAACTTGTGGTTCCCACTATTCCCTCTAATCAACTGGTTGAAGCTGAGTACATGAAAGATCTATACCCCACTAAGCTTAGAATTGCATTGCTTTTGATTTATTTTAATAAGATCCTCTTGACTTCCAATTTATCCCCTCCCCCCTCCCCGATAAGAATATCTTCCTCTTGACAATCTATTTAAAAGACACAGGAATGTTTTGAACAGAGGCTGTATTTCATGCTTTAGGACACAGCCGTGATCGATATAGCATAAATTGCCCACAAGAATCTTATCGTTGTTGTTGTTTTTATTCCCTTCATTTTTCTCTGGACCATAATGGAATTTGATGGCTTAGTGAGGCCTCAGTAAAGGTAGGTCTTAACTAAAATTTCAGGTCAGACCTAGGACGTTTTAGGTCCCCCCTTCCCCTTATTTCAGAATCAGTAAGTGACAAGTGTACACTGAGCATTTGCCATGAGCCAAGGACTTTTAGACAAAGGATAAGATGTAGTCCCTTTGCTAAAATACTTAACATGCATATCTAGGTGGGGAAATTTTCTGTGCTTTGTGCTTTTTGTGCTCAAAGCTGAATCTCCTTTTTGGCTATATGTATTAGAGAAAGGAAAGACAATATCTGAAATACAATCTTTTATGCTATTGAATGCATCTCTTCCTTAAAATTTTTATTTTGATTTGAAAGATAGTGCATATTTTCCAAAAGTCATTGAACAAAGTTAATTTTGTTCTGCAGCTTTGGATTCATCTGGAAGTAAAAATCAGGCGTCTTGCTACCCCCCATACTTGCCATTGGGTGAGATTAAGTTTTACAACTATAGCCTAGAATTTAAGAGAGAGACAGGAATTTTGTCAATCGTAGGAAGAATCTGGGAAATGAAGGAATATGTGTAAATTTACAGTGGAAACCTGTGGGATTTCAAGTTATCACTTGAAAAAAAACCTGAGAATTCCTCGAAGCAAGATGGGAAAATTTGGGCATGATTCATGGAACTGGTTTTATATAGAATTGAAAAATACTTTGAGGTTTGATCTGCAATAATGTTACAAATATATATATATATATATATATATATATAATTAAATTTGAAAGGAGTATATTGTTATATTCACTTATTCTAAAATCAAGTTTAGTTTTTGGCCTTTAGCTGCTATTTTCTGCCTTGGGTCTCTTTCCAGAGGAATTTCTGAAGACAGTCAAGTGCAGTGTGATTTATGAGGCAGTGAAGGCCAAGTACTTTGCAGTGAGGAGGACCTACTTACTTTGGGGAAATCAATGGAGCACATCAGTCTGCAGCACACTTCCTGTCTTAATGGTCCTAAGCTCGATCAATACTTGAAATTTCACTTCACCATCAGTTTGTGGGCAGTGTGTGCTTTGCAGTCTTCCTTCCATCAACCTCAAATATATGGCCGGACCTATTACAAATGGGGCTAGTTACACTTTTCCTGCTTGGTTTTAGATCTGCCTTAAGCCTTGTCCACTGGTATGTTTTAAGGATGTAAAATGTGTTGTGCTGTAGGCTAAGGAATGATTTAAACCTTGAAATTACCTGGTCAGGGGAGGGGGTGTTGGTCAGATGCGCAAGATCCATAGCGTGGTTGTTTATCATTCATTTCTTCTTCTAAAAAATTTCCTGTTCAGAGGTATTTCAATAGAGTCTCCAGAATCTTGGAGAGTATTTCTAGCACTGACTGTGGCTTTCTTTTCACAGATTCTCTAACCATGGCACAGGTAGAGAAACGGGGGGGTTTGCTCCGGAAATCTTCAGCCTCCAAAAAACCACTGAAGGAAAAAGTAGTGCTGATGTATGATGAGATCTTCATGGTAAGGCCTGGAGCCCTGACATCCTGCACAGAGTGATGCCTTAGTTTCTTGTTCCTAAATGAAAAATAACCTCACCTCTGCATGCTACCTTCCAGTTGTTCAGAGGGCGAAACGAGAGAGCAAGAGTGAGAGTGAGGTCTCTCATGGTAGAAATTATGACCATGTATTAATTAATATAGATTGTTGCCATAAACTGGGTAAAACAATTGAAAGGAGGAAGGAAGGCTGGGAAATCTTCTTTTCTTAGTAACTTTGAGAAAGACTTGCCTTCCTTACAATCTGACTTAAGGCCTCTTCTATTCTAGATGTCGCTTGAAGTTTGTTTTGTCCCTACAATTCTGTGATTCAGATATTTTAAAAAGATGCACTATTATATTCCATCTCTATAGAACAATTGCTTAGGTAAACTGTCTCTATATGAGTTAACTGAGGAATTATTAGCAGTTGGATTGGGGATTTCTTTGGGCCTTCATAACTGCTGGTTGACCATGATCCAAGCTTGTGTTGTAAAAGATACACCATCAGGTAAGGTTAGAGTAATTAGATGCCCTGCAGAGGTACTTGCCTTCTGAAGTCCTGATCATAAGTAGTACATGTAAAACAATAATGCCTATAAAAAGAGTTACTGTATATTGAGTTCCTACTATATGCCTGTCATTATTCTAAATGTATCACTAAATACATTAGTTTTAATTCTGACAAGAATGGTGCAAGAGGGCCATGTTTTTACATGTGACATGTAAAAGAACATGTTATAGATGAGAAAACGGGGGATCACAGCTAGAAGGTGATTTGAACCTTAGTGTCTAAATCCAGAGCCCTTATTTGTTCAAATTTGCCACATGGCCCAGGATAAATAATTCAGTCAAGTAAAACATTTAACTCTTGGCAAAGGCTTAGAGGTAGAGTTTAACATGCATAAAATTAATACAGAATTGCCCAGGTCAGTGCAGGTAGTTATACAGAGAAGATGAGCAGGTACTAGGATCCTATTAGGGCTCTTTCTATATTAAATAAGTTTGATATACATATGATTCCTGCTTGTTTGAGCTTTGAGGATGGCGAGTCCCAGCTCCATGAATTCCCTGAGTTTCATACATAGACAACAAAATGACATTACAGAAGTGTGAGGATCAAAGTGTGACATCTCCTGGGGACTAGGACTTGAGAGAAAGAGACTAAATGAGGACCTTATGAGAAGGCCAGAAATGTTGCTTCTCTATGTCATCCTCATTAAAAATCCAAAAGAGATTCCTAGTATATTTTCTTATTAGAGCAGTTCTTAACTAATGAAGACATTAGTTCTTCATTAATAATTTTTAATGGGTAATAATTTTAAAAGGTCAACTTAAGGTAAGGTGATAGCAGGCAACTGACCTACTGATTTTATATCGTTAGCTTTCCTGTGAAGTGGGGGTGGGGGTTCTCTTTGTCTTATCTCACTCATTAACCAGAAGCCTCTGACTTTCTAGAGTTTATTTGAAAATTATTGCTAAAAAATTTTGGATTTTAGTACTATAATTTTGCTAACCTTTTAAGCCAATTTGAATTAAGGAAACAGCATATTAAAGGCTCTGTACAGAGCACTGAATGCATATGGGAGGGCAAGTAGAAGCAGTCAACATAGGCTGTTGTAAAAACCATGGCTGCATTAGATGATCTGAGTTCTGGCTCCTGCACTTGTGTAAGTCACTTATCTTTGTGGACCCTCTTTCCTAAAAGGAAAATAATGATAATATCTACCATACCTGGCTCACTGGGTCTTTATATTTCATGTATGTGAATGGGCTTTGACAGCTGAGCTCCATACAGATGGAATGGGGACATATAATATGACTAACTTATTAGGTTAGGTTCACTTCTTGCTAGAAGAGAAAGATTTGAGGGAGATTCTTTGAGCCATTATTTAACTTTTGGTGCAGGGAATCTATGCGTAATGTCTTCCATTTGAAAAAAAACAACAATCCCAAAACTGTTGTTCTCCATTACAATAGTTTAGAATAACCAAACTAAAAGTTAATTTTGAAAGTTAATTTGGAAAGGTAAGGTTGATTATGTTTAATGACCCTTTCAAATGTATTCTTAATGATTTGGTGTAAGCTGGGGATATTGAACTTGCCTATCTTCTGGTTTCAGACAGAGGACCCCAGTAAGTGCAGTCCTCGATTTTGGGAGGAGCTCTTCCTCATGAAGGTAAGACTTGGTGGCATCTGTAGATTTTCCTGGTAACTGAGATTGCCTTCTCATGTGTTCTAGGTGCTACACTAAATATGCACTCAGGCCCTTATTGTTTCCTTGGTAGGTGAACTTAGAGTACCTGGAAGGCAAGCTGGAATCTCTTGATGGTGAGGAGTTAATGAAGATCAAGGACAACATTAATTGCTTATTTCAACATTGCATCCAGGCTTTGGGAGAGGAGCATCCAATTCGAGTTGTCAATGCATTGCAGGTACAAGGTTGGGAGACTGGGGATGTCTTGTTTGATAGGAGAAAGGAATTGTAACACATCTGTTGGGACCTGAGGAACCTAGACTTGCCCTTAAGTTATGAGGTTTTCTTTTTTCTTTACTTTTTTTAAGTAATCAAACATCTATGCTGTGTTTGTTTAGCCATCTTCCTGGTTAAACAACTTGATGCTTATAGTAGTAATCTTGGCCATTTGTATAATTTGATCTAATGCCAAGGGATATTATTTGACAGAATTCTTATTATTTATTTGAGGAAAGGAAGAGAAAAGAGGAAAATAAGGAAAGGATGCTTAGTTTTCTGCAAAAATTAGGAGATTCTTTTTTTATTTTCTTTTAGAAATTTTATTGGGGAACAGTGTGTTTTTCCAGGACCCATCAGCTCCACGTCAAGTAGTTGTCTTCAATCTAGTTGTGGAGGGCACAGCTCCTTGGCCCATGTGAGAATCGAACCAGCAACCTTGGTGTTATAAGCCTGCGCTCTAACCACCTGAGCTAACCGGCCAACCCCAAGGGAGACTCTTTTTTTTTTTTTAATTGGGAATCTGGGGAAGGGGAACAGACAAGTTGCTGTCCTTTTGTTCTTCAGTCTTGTTGTGGAGGATGTTGCTTCACTGGCCCAAGGTGGCACCATCATTGCGCTATTCCCGGGCGAGGCAGATCATTTGCCAGCTTCTGGACGGCTGCTCACTGCGGCTGCTGGCTGCTCACGACACACGGTAGCCCATGGCAACCCACTGCCACAGGGGCTGCAGCCTACGCCGTCACCGGCGACTCAGAGCAGCCCAGCTCCATGTTGAGCTGTTGTTCAGCATCTTAGCTGTAGAGGACAGTGTCGTCACTGGCCCTCATATGTGGGATCCGAACCGGGGCCCTCTGGCGTCCCAAGCCAGTTCTTAACCATCGTGCCACTCGGCCGGCCCTCAACAGGTTCTTGACTCCCTGAAATTACATGTAATATTTTATGTATATATGTATAATATTTCTGGAGAGAGGGCTTTCATCAGATCCTCAAAAGATCATTGTTCTTAATGCTAAGTGGCATGGTCATGAGGAAGATTCATTGAACAATTATTTCTTGGCTGCCAGTTATGTGCCAAACATTGGGCTTTTGGGGATACATTATAGGCTTCCTGAGGACAAAGACTTCGATAGTTCCATTCAATACTTTGTTCCTGGTGTGTAGTACAGTGCCTGGCAAATTGCACTCTAGAAGTAAATTTTTACTGAGTGAACAATAGGCACAGTTTCTTAAGTTTGTAGTCTAGTAGCTTCAAGCATAGCCTAGATTGGGCTAAGTACCTAGGGCAGTGATTGACAGAATACGAAGCTCCATGATAGCATAAAAAATTTTATTGGAAATTTTGGTTCATTGGGTGTAAGTCTCTAACTTACTAGTTGGGCAGATCACTTCATGAGCCCATTTTCTCATCTGTACAATGTAGAAATTACCTCTTGAGCTGATGCCCTAGAAAGAAGGATGGCGTTTATCCTGTAGCTTTGTTAACTTCTGGCACAGTAAATTCCGTTTTTTGAGCATCTAGTTGTAGGGGCTCATTGAAAGTTGAAATGAAAGTTGGAAATTGTACTTCCTGTAATTGCAGTGGCTAACTGTGGGGGCATGAATTGTAAACTGTTTTTAGTTAAGTGGAAGTAAATTAATATTAAGCCACTTGGTGACTCATAAAAATTAGTGCATTACTGTAATAGCTGATACTTACTGAACTTTAACAAAGTTCCACATAGTATTTTTGGAGCTTTAACAAAATTCCAGGGTCTACTAAGTGCTTCACAATATTAATTCACATATTCCTCACAACATCCCTATGAAATGGGTGCTATTGTTATCATTCCCACTTTATAGATGAGAAAACTCAGGCAGTGAAAAGTTAACTAATTTGTTTGGACTCACAAAACTAGTAAGTAGGAATGCAATAAATTTTAAGATTTGAAGCAATAGATTGTTATCATAAAGGGACTTAACTAACTTGTAGTTATTAAAAAATAATTACTAAAAATGATAAACTATAATGTAAATATTAAAATTAATTTTAAATAGGGCTGACCTAGTGGTGCATTGGTTAAGAGCTGGCTTGGGATACTGGCTCTGAGCAGTAGGGCTCTGGTTCGAATCCCACTTGAGGGCCAGTGACACTGCCCTCTACAGCTAAGATGGTGAACAACAGCTTGACCTGGAGCTGGGATGCCGTGAGTCGCCGGCGATGGGTAGGCTGCAGTGAAGCTGCAGTGGGCTGCCATAAGCTACCGTGTGTGGCCAGCAGCCAGCGTGAGTGGCTGGCAGCTGATGTGAGCTGCCAAGAGCCGCCGTGAGTGGCCGTCCAGAGGCCGGCGACCGATCTGCCTCACCCGGGAAGAGTGCAATGATGATACCAACATGGGCCAGTGAAGCAACGTCCTCCACAACTAGACTGAAGAACAAAAGGACAGCAACTTGACTGTTCCCCTTCCCCGATTCCCCAGCACTGTTCCCCTCCCCCAATTCCCCAATAAAACCTTAAAAAAATTAATTTTAAATAAAGGAAAGTTCCACCAATCCCATGGCAGACTATTTTTTATTTTTGAATGTCACCTCCCGGTCATTGTCTGCATGCAATTTTTAAAAAGAGGATAGCCAAAAAGCAACAAAAAAGAGGATGACAACTGTTTTAGTTGCTGTTCCTCTTTTAATTTCTGGATTTTGCACATATTAAGACTCAGACTATGTTTTGGAGCCCAAGTATCAGAGCAACTGAATGTCAGCTGTGCAAGGAGGAGGTTTTGAGGTTGCAATGTGAGGCCACAGATCCAATGCCCTTTGTGTTTTGAGACTTCCTCTCTAGAAAGAATTCTTTTTCTCTTCTCTGCAGACCTTGTGTGCACTCATTCGAGGAGTCCACCAAAAGAATAAGTCTACCTCTGGATTTGACATTATCAACATGCTGATGGGCTTTGACAAGGCGGAGCTGTGCATGAAGGTGAGCCATAAAGCTGCAGTTGTGCCTGTGGATGGCTGCTTCTGACAGCTGCTCATGGAACCATCTGCAGACATGTGCTGGAAGAGTGGGATGCAGATAGATATAGATGATTGAATCTAGCCTTGAATTTGGATATTTTCATTTTACAGATTTGATTTATCTGAATAAAGGAAGATTTGAAATTCAAATTTGAATTGAGGCATCCTTTCCCTGCAGGATAAAGACTGAACAGTTTATTTTATGATTTATATCATATCATATATTCTTAAAAACATTTGTGAATTTAAATAAAATATAACGAGTTAATGTGCAAGGGTAATTTCAGTTCTAAACTTTAAGCTTTCTTAATTTACATAATGACTAAGAATTTTAATTTCTGTTGTTTGACACTTAAAAAATAACAGCTTTATTGATATATAATTCACATATCATACAATTCATGCTTTTAAAGTACATAATTCAGTGACTTTTAGTATATTAATGAAGTTGTACAGCCATCACCACTTTTATTTTCAAAACATTTTCATCACCCCTTAAACAAAACACGTGCCCATTAGCAGTCATTCTCCGTTCCCCCTTCTCTCTAGCCCCTAACAACCATCAATCTGCTTTATGTCTCTATGGATTGATTTATTCTGGACATCTCATATAAATGGAATTATATATGTTATTTTGTTTCTGGCTTCTGTCACTTAGCATGTTTTCAAAGTTCATCCATGTGGCAGTATGTATCAGTACTATTATAATTCCTTTTTATGGCTGTTTAATATTCCATTGTATGAATATACCACATTGTTTTATTTATCCATTCATCAGTTGATGTACATTTTGAATGTTTCAACATTTTGGTTATTTATGAATAATGCTGTTATGAACATTCATATTCAAGTTTCTATGTGGACATATGTTTTCAGTTCTCTTGGGTAAATACCTAGGAGTAGAATTGCTGGGTCATATGGTAACTTATGTTTAAACGTTTTTGTTTTAAGATTTTTTATTGGGGGAATTGGGGGGTGGGAACAGCACTGGGGAATTGGGAGAAGGGGAACAGACAAGTTGCTGTCCTTTTGTTCTTTAGTCTAGTTGTGGAGGACATTGCTTCACTGCCCCAAGTTGGTACCATCATTGCGCTCTTCCCAGGTGAGGCAGATCAATCGCCGGCTTCTGGACGGCCTCTCACTGTGGCTGCTGGCTGCTCACGCTGGCTGCTGGCTACACACGGTAGCCCATGGCAATCCACTGCAGCAGTGGCTGCAGCCTACGCTGTCACCGGCGATCACGGCATCCCAGCTCCAGGTTGAGCTGTTGTTCAGTATCTTAGCTGTAGAGGGCAGTGTCACTGGCCCTAATATGTGGAATCCGAACCCGGGGTCCTCTGGTGTCCCAAGCCAGCTCTTAACCAATGCACCACTTGGCCGGCCCTGTTTAAACATTTTGAGAAACTGCCAAACTGTTTTCCAAAGTTGCTGTACGAATTTTATAGTTTCACCAGCAACGTATGAGAGTTCTAATTTCTCCACATTCTTGTCAACAATAGCTTTTGCCTGTCTTTTGTATATATGAGTATATTTTTTGAGAAATATCTATTCAGATCCTTTGCCCAGTTTTAAATTCAGTTATTTGTCTTTTAATTGTTGAATCGTTAAGAGTTCATTATATATTTTGGATAGTATGTCCCTTACCAGATATATGATTTGCATTGTTTGACACTATCTTGAATGAATATTATTCATTTGAAGAACTAGTTTTCTGTCACTCACAAAATTTAAAATAAAGAAATCTGTGTGCCAAAGAATTCTTATAGTGATTAGGTTATTTTACAAAGTTATGAATATACAATTCTGAATACACAAAGGTTTAGCACCCAGAATCAGTTTTTAATTCTAACCTGTATAATTCATATATGTGTGTGTGTGTGTGTGTATGTGTGTGTATACCCACATGATAAAATCCCACATCTCTCTTTCCTTCTCATCATTCTAACTACTGCCTGTATGCTGCTGATTACTGAGTCTGTATCTTTAGCTTTAGCATCCCCTCATGAATCTCAGTTGTATATGTCCTCTCTAAGCACTTGCTGAATATACCCACTTGCATATCCCTAAGTATCTCTTGCTTGGCATATCCAAAATGGAACTCATTTTTTCCCCTCCATCTGTTCTTCCTCATTCATTTCCTGTCAGAATAGGGGCACCTGTCTTCTCAGTCCCCCAAGCCAAAAACGTGGGCATCATCCTTGACTCTTTCCTCTCCCTTGTCTTTCATATTCAGACAGTCACTAAGTTCAGCTAATTTTACTTCAGCCCATAATTCTCATACCTGTCCTTTCTTCTTTTTACTCTGTTGCCAGTGTCTCCATTATCTCTCATTTGAACTATTGCAGCGATGCCTTCATTCATTCTTCTGACAAACATTTGTTAGGCTCCTATGTGCCAGGCACTGGGGATACAGTGGCAAATAAGACATGGCAACTATCTTCAGGAAATTGATAGATTAGCCCTCATTTGTCTCCTTCCCTCCAGGCTTACCATCTTTAAATCTGTCATCCACACTGACACCAGAGGTATTGTATCTTACACTCAAATCTTTCCTGCTTAAAACTCTTCATCAGTTTCCTATCACTAACAGGATAAAGACCAAACTCCTTAGTTAGCCTTATAAAACTTTCATGATCTGCTTCCTATTTATTTCTCTAGTCATCTCTCACCACTGTGCCTCTCTCTTTATACTTCGATAATTACAAACTACTTGTATTTCAACTCCATACACGGAGCCATTTCATACCTCATGTGTCTTTGATCATGCCAACGCCTGTCTAGAATTCCTTTCCTCCTCAAGTTTTAATTAATTCCTACTGATTTTTCAAAATATAACCCTCCCTTGAGGAGTCCTGGAATAGGTGACATCTGAGCTAGTTCTCTTCCTCCATGTATATTTCTGTCATAGTAACCATTATATCAAAACTGTTTATTTTTTTCTCCCATTAGACTAAAAATACCTTGAAAGCAAGGATCATTGTCTAATTTTTTTTGTATTTTTGAAAGCACAATATTTAGCATATAGTAGACCCTCACTACATATTTGTTGAATTGAACTAACGTAGCTTATTTTGAACCTTCACTTGACCTTTCTGCATGCTAAATCGTTATTCTCCATTCCCTTCCTTCATTTGATGTAAAATATTTATTTTCTTCTTCCTTCCATTGTAGTATCTAAAGGCTTCATTTTTTTATTACATTGAGTCTAACAGCTGGGTGTTAGTACAAGTGATAAACTCCAGCCTCATTGTCTAGTAGAACTGACCAGGACAGACACAAGCTAGCTTTGCTGGATAGTGCATATGGCCAGTGGTAGCCAGTAGTGATACTGTCTCGTTGTTGTTTGTTCAGTGTGCCTGCATCAAGTGACATGCTTTCTTTATCAAATAATGAAACCTGTCTAGTTATTGAACTGTTATTATTAACCTTGAACTTAATCATTTATTTAATTTATTATTTTAATGTATTTAATTGAATTTTATGTTATTTAATTAATTAGCTTATTGTTTTAAATTTATACATTTATTAATTTAACCATTATTATTGACCTTTTAAAAATTTACTTCATTCTAATCTAAAGGTTTATATGAGGATGACAGGCTGTAAACATTCATTTGGTAGAATAGTGAATTCTATTGTTCTGTGCAGTTGTTTTAAAGCATTTTCTGGAAAATAGCTAGACTTAGAAGTTTTCCTTTTTTTTTTTTTTTTTTTTAAAGATTTTTATTGGGGAATTGGGGGGATGGGAACAATGCTGGGGAATTGGGGGAAGGGGAACAGACAAGTTGCTGTCG